ACGCAGCTGACGCCGCTGCTGCTCTCCAGCCAGGTGAGCAGTTTGTAGATATATCTGTCTGGTTTGTACTACATTTAAAACACAAAGTCTGCTTTATTTTTATTGCTCAAACAACATGCGCATTTTCTGAAGACACTCGGTTGCACATTACAGTTATATTATGAATTAATTCTGATATTTTTAAGTTATTTGCAACACCCTGACTAACATTACGATAAACTTTTAATATTACAATAAAACTTGTAATAGTGCAGAATATACATGAGCATTACCTCATGATTTTTGTATTAGTTTAATACAAAAACTAATAATTTTTGTATTAGTTTAATACAAAAATCATCGTTAGCTTACCTGAACCACCTGAGTCACCTGCTTTCCTGCCGCTGCAAGGCGGAGATCAGCTCCTCCTCACCACATCGCAGCTTTCCTCCCACTGTCACATTTTCTTGAAATCTCAGAAAAATCGCAATCAGGCTATAAAAAATAGCTCAGCTCTCTCTTCTTCTTTTGTATCAGAAAAACAACAACTCGCGTTAGGTCGCATGTAACGAAGCACAGCAGGTAGCTCCTGGAGGCCGGGCGCTACACCCCCCCCGCCACCAGGAGGCGGTACCCTGCAACAGAGCCAAGTAGGCCGGTGGAAACGCGGTCACTCCGAAACAGAGCCGAGCCGAGCCGGGTTGTTGAAGTAGAGCCAGTGGAAAAGGGGCAGTAGTGATTTCTCTGTACATGAGGGCTTCTCCGAATGCTTCCCTTCCAGTCGACTGGATGACCTTTCCAAGCGGAAGGGTCAGAGGTCATCAGGTGAGCACGAGTCCCGGGTAAAAGCCCAGCAGGAGGGCCTGGTGTTGGCGCTCGTCATGAAAACTGGATCTGCTGTACGGTGGGAATCTGTGGGTATGCAGTGGTGGTGTACACCATGACATTCTGCTGCTGACCATCTGCTGTGATAGTCCCAGCTGGAAGCGGATTGGCAAAGCCGTCGTCTGTCAGATCCTCACCCAGACTTTCTCCCACTGCCACCCTCGGCATCCCCATCTTCCCCTTCATCGCCTCTCTGAACTTCTGCAGGTAGAGCTTGAGGGGGTCGACATACATGTTGAAGCCCAGCCTGGACACGGCGAACAGGAAGTCCTCCCTGTTGATGGTCTTCCTCTTCTCGTGGTGGTAGCGCTCACTGGCTTCCGACGTGATGAAGCTGATGAACTCGCTCACACACTCCTGCACAGTGTTCTTCATGATGCGAGCCACGTTAGCAATAGGGAGGTAAATGTCCTGTTCCCTGTAGTTCTCCTTGGTTCCGTTGTCTTCATGGTCATTCATGTTCTCTTCTCCATCATCGTCCTGGGGGTGGAGAACATAATGACTGGACGCCATGTATTCTCCAGTCATGCCCAGCTGAGAGGCGTCTGTGGTTGAGCTGTCTCTGTCCATCTCCAATGAAGCCCTGGTTGGTTACCTTCCTCGGCACCGAGCGACCTAAACGCCCCACAACGTTTGATGCAGTGACGTTGATTCCAAAGCTCTATTGACCAATAGTAGAGGAGCTGGACATAGAAGGCAGCTCTCCTCATTAACATAATGATGCAGGAGGCAATAACAAAAGTAGGGCTTGTAAAAGGAAAAGACAAAACAAAATATCTACTTTTCTTGACAAAAAACGCATGTTTAGGGTGAATGAAAATAAAATATACACAGTGATCCCTCGTTTTTCATGGGGGTTGCTTTCCGAAAATAACCCGCGTTACTTTAGGTAACTAATGTAGTTACCTTTAGTTCTTACAATTATTATACAGCATAATTAAATACTCTACATTGAAACCAAAGAACAAACGCTGTTTTCAGGTCAGCGGATGTGCGTGTTCATCAATCGGGCCTTAATGTGATCTGGAGTCATGTCATTAAAGCGTCTCCTCCAACCTGCCCCGCGAGACTCACAGCTGGATCTACGGCAGAGCGATGGATCTTGTTAACCGAGCCTCCGGTCAGGTTTTGTGCTGATTCTGGCCAGTTTTTTTCCAGCAGGCATTCAAAGTTTTCAGCTCATCTCCTGAATGGCCAATCTGTATTACTTCTATTTAAATACCGTAACATTATTGGCACACAGGTAGAGAAGGAGCTCGGAGACTGTTTAGCCAATCAGGACGCAGAACACAATGCACTGTGAAAAAAACTGCACAAAAAAATCCGCGAAGCAGCGAAAGGTGAACCGCGTTATAGCGAGGGATCTCTGTATATTATTAAGTTTAAGTTGG